TGTGTGTTGCTTAATTAATTTCTTCAATAATTTCTCAAAGAAATATCTGTTATGTTTTTAATAATTGCAGAAGGAGACATTAGGATTGGGTCATTTTGACCTGTCTGGTAGTTTTAGTGTTAACATTTCACCGTCTGGTAGTTTATTAATTTGTTGTTATTGCAACGGATACTTTGTTATCTATTATTGAGGTAGAAGTATTACATTGTACTATTGTAAGGTTCCACATTATTATATAATTTGTTAAATGTTAGATACCCTTCTCGAAATTAAAAGAAAAGAAGTGAAGAAATTAATTAAAAGTGATAGCAATAATATAAAGCAAATGCAGCAGTATAATTAATGTCTCGTTCTAATACAGCATAGACCGGATTTTGAAAGTATGTAGATAACTCGAATATAGATCACGAGTTTCTGTACCATGGGCCAGATTACTATTTGAAATCCAATTTCAAATGCTCCGCAGTTCAATCGCAAAATGATTAAATTCTATTAATAAAGCATTGTGTTCGGACTGCACTGTACGCGATGAAATAAGATTCTAATGAATTCAGAGTTTCATTTAGATTTTATTCTTACGGTGCGATTAAACTAGTGCAGTAACGGGGAAAGCTGGGGAAATTTCATTATAATAATCGGGAATCTCGTGAAAAATGTTTCATAAAAATGTTTAGAAGATTGATTGAATCATTTCGAAAGATACCTATCTTTCTATTTAACATGCAGTATTAAGAAATACATTATTCTATATTACAGATCATTAGAAAGAAAAGTATCGTATTTTATGTATCGAAACACCACTTCCCATCAGAACCTTTGCATCCCGAAGGTACATTAAAGTACCAATTTCATTAACATACTGCCATGACCCAAATACGCCTAGTTCCAATTTTTAATTTCATTAAGAATAACGCGATTTAATCATTATGCGTGCACGCCCTAGTGGTTCCACAAGAATCTCTTATTTAAACACTCCAGGAATAGATACCCAAAACAATAACACCCATAACACACAAAAATGGCGCAATTTAGGATATAGTTCCAATTTTTTAATTTCATTTAGAATAATCAAATTAATCATTATGCATCAACACACTAATGATTCTATAAGGGTATACCCAATCATTTGAACCTCTTAAACACCCCAGCAGTAGGTACCCAAAGCAATGATACCCATAACACATAAAAATGACGCAATTCCAGACACAGTTCCAATGTTTAATTTCATTTAGAATAACTCAATATAATAATTACATGTAAACACCCTAGTGATTCCACAAGAACATACCCAACCATCCTCTTATTCAAACACCCCACCGATATCTACCCAAAACAACCCCCACAACACATAAAAGTCCAACTCAAAACCCAAAACCTCCAAACACCATTCCCCCAATCCAACTGGCATCCAACATCTAGAACATCTTTTCTCTCAATCTGATTCAACCGTACATACTAGATTGGTTCGAAAAACGTAGGGACAAGAAAGGCAAAAAGGCAGTCCCGCCGAAAAAGATTGACGTTAACGCGCGCCCGCTTATCTGTCCGTCTGCCACGGACGGACGGACATTATGACGGTCTCCTTTCAAGGAGTTCTATAGCTCTGCGTGATTTTTCTCCCCGCGTCTCTGGTAGCTCGTTGGTTTTTGCCGCTCGCAGCTCGCAGCCTGCGCGAGAAACGGTTCTGACGTTCATCGATCACCGGCCGCGTACAGATACGAAGGCGTTTCCGTTTCTATGCGTGTCGTTGCACCGTCGACACCTATTTACCGATAGCTCCGCGGACAAAGAGTAATTGCCAGCTTCGCAGGCTCTTGTCCTGCCATCAAAGCCCGCGCCAGCCGCAGACCATGAATACTCTAATTTGCGTGCGTGAAAGCGTCCCCTGCTCGCCGCGGACGTTCCGCGTCGCATAAATTCATGGCGCTACGAAGAACGCTCGAAAACTGCCTCCACGTTAATCGAAAATCACGCAATCACGCGTGTTTCACTTTTCGAAGCTTGTCACACTTCACGCTTTTTTGTTATATCCACGCTGGCTAACTTTTCTGCTCCGCATTGCGGATATTTCGGGGATTCTTGGTTTGGGATGCTTTTGTTCTTCGAATTAGGGGATGCGTCGAAGTTTTTGATAGTTGAGTCGGTTTTTTAGAAACTGTGAAAAGGTGTATTGTAGTATCGTAGTTTCAAGGCAGTGGGATAGTATTCTGAAAGACAGGAAGATATTTCAGGGATTCTTGGTTTGGGATGCTTTTGTGTTCAAATTAGGGGATGCGTCCAAGTTGTTGATAGTTGAGTCGGTTTTTTAGAAGCTGTGAAAAGGTGTATTGTAGTATCGTAGTTTCAAGGCAGTGGAACAGTATTCTGAAAGACAGGAAGGTGGCAATAAAAGAGAAAGGGACTGATGACCAGGCCCAAGGGTTGGCGAGTTTTCCCGAGCGATGCGTAAGCGGGGATGAGTGTGTGGTGGTGAGAGTAGGGTGCGGTTGAGAGTTTGTTGGAAGTCGAGTGAAAAGAATGCTGGTGGGGGAGAATGATTTTTAAGTGCGGATGGCGAGAGTTTTTGGAGAGCGTTGGCTTTAGAAGAGAGATCTGTACACTGCGACCTATATCGTTTTTATTTATTTCTATCTCATTCGATTAACTATTCCTATGTTTTCTCAAGTAAAACATAATTATTTACATTAATACCACAGTATCTTAACGTAAGAATTAATGGAGTAAAATTAATTGGAGTTGATTGCAATATCGTAACTCGTAATGATTCCATTTATATGAAACTCTACACGTGTCGTGTTATCTGAGTGGTTCAAAACACGTTTATCACTCTTCAGTACGTCAACAACGTTCACGTCAAACCGTCAAAAATAGTGCAGTATTAATAGTATTAAAAACACAAGAAATCTGATGGATTTAAAGACTGACCAATAGACGTCAGAGTGCAAACGATACGATGCAATTTATTCAGTCCATTAATTGTCTTGTTGTATAAAACGCGACAATTATCTGTATGATCTAATATTTTCAAAATATTGAACACTTTTCGATTCTTTTCGCTTTATTCGTGTACCACGTGAATAACATTTATTAATCAAATTTATCGTGTCCAAATACTTGTTGCTACAAAGGTAATAATCAATTTAATAAACAAATACTGAAAATATTCAAGTGAGAACTATTATTAGTTGATTCGGCTTTTTAGAAATAGTGAAAAGGTATCTTAAGGTAAAAATTAATGGTCGCGTTAGAATTAATTGGAGTAGATTGTAATATCGTACCGTAGTGATTCCATTTTTATGAAACTCGACACGTGTCGTGCCATCTGTGTGGTTCAAAACACGTTTGTTATTTTTCAGTGTCGTCAACAACGTTGAGAGGTGATTCGGTTTTTTAGAAATAGTGAAAAAGGAAATCGATATCGAAGAGATTAATTACGTTATATCAGAAGATTCTTGTAAGACAAAATAAAATTTTTGTTCACGATTACATTGTGTATGCTTTAAATCCTGTCTGTTATTCGCTAATTATCTTGTTCCACAAGATTGAGCTATAATTTCAGATGAAGATTAAGTATTACGCGGCAGCAATCTCTAGAAAGTGATTTCATTCCTTGTATTTGTGTTTCTGTAATGAGAAGCTACGGATCTTTTACTCTTAGATGTCTTGCAAATTCAGAAAGTTTTATCAAAGTCGCGGTAGAGAGATTGCGTAATTCCTGTAGCGAAGACAGCTCGTTACTTGTGAAATTGGAAAAGTGTGGGAGATTATAATTAATTTTTTGAACCTATACCGGCAGATATTAATACCTCGCACGGTCGTAATGAAAAATGGTAAGCTGTGAATTGGTAGTTCGGACTGGAAATAGCTTTGTAAATTGAAAATTATATTTGTTTAAATATAGGAATGTACATATAAATTTCACATCCATCAATTTTATATATGTATATTTCTATATTTTTATGAATATTCCCTTCGAAATATTTCTCAAATATGTTGCTGTGACTACAAATGTTTAACACAAATCTACAGTATTCTACTAGGTTTACTTTTAGTAGCCACTATAATTATCATCATACTATTATATACAGCAATTACAACCTTTCTAAAAAGTACAACGAACTGCAATATCGCGGAATTCAACTCATGTGCACGTGTTACCACAGTTTCCGGCGAGCACGTTAAATATTTGAGTTCTTTCGCGTATGTCTATATACGCGAGTAGACCGCGGAAGTTACTGCAAATTTACAATTTTAGAATTTTAGAATTTTAGAACAAAGAGCAGATCCGGATAAGAGTGTTAGATATGACCTCGTGCTAAATTCAACAAAGGACGAGCCATTCGATTCGACAGTTCCCCAGGAAAAAGTATTTCCTCTCGCGTTTCACTTCTTTAACATTAGCAATGTTCCAGGAAAAAACTTAATCATTGTTATCTACCGTGTTTTCATTGTTTCAGAACAAAACAAAAATTCTGCATTAAAGACAGAATCTGGAAACGCGATGAATAATTCGTTTCCAAAATTCTAAGGTATACGTTTCAGCATCATTTCGATTATTACAGAAATGTTCATTTTCATCTGCATAGAAATATGTTGGGAGCATAATGAGTAATCAATTTATTTCTCTAACTTGCAGCATTTCAGTTATTACCCTATCAATTATTCAATTATTACACTATCATTTATTTTTTCAATCACACCTTGTATTCCAAGCATACGTCACAAACCCTTGCAAATCTCACTCATTCTTTCAAATAATCTTTCGTTCTCTCTCATCTCTTTCTTTCTCTCACTCTTTCTTTCATTTTTTCTTTCTTTCTCTTACTCTTTTTCTTTCTCCCATTCTTTCTTTCTTTCGTTCGTTCCTTCGTTCGTTCTTCCTTTCTCTCCACCCCAATTCGTTTCGCACTCGTTCGCCAGATTCTCCCGTCAGTCCGATCTTTGGCTCTCTGGCCGTTCGACTTGTCATTTGTCATTGGGTTTGGAAACGATACAGATACCCTCCGTTATGCTTGAACTGTAGAAGCCGGGACAGTCGGCCACGACGAGCGAGGCTCCGGGGATTGCCGCCCGCTACGACTCTGCCAACACAACAACAACAAGACCGCTTTCACGAGTCTAATTCCTAACCATCTACTTCGCTAGAAACTTGACTTCAGAGAAAATGGAAATCCCCACACGCGTTTAACTGCGTGCTCTCGCGACGATTATTTTCCTCCCTCGGCACACGACGCCCGCATTCTACCGTTGCCTCGTTTTCAAACGTGAAATAGACATTAGCATTACATTTTTCCATTCCTGTACTTCACATTCTACGCACTTTTTGCATGCACTGGATCTTTTAACGGCTTCTCGAATTGCGAATCGCGATCTTTCAGTGGATCGTAGAGAACAAACAAGTTTTATGTGTAATAATAATAATAATAAATATTTTATATATTTCGATGTATAATATATAATATATAATATATAATATTCGATGTATAATATATAATAATAAATATTTAATATAGAATATTAGGTTGTAACATATGAAATGTCCGATTTTTAGGATTACTTTGAAATGAATACATTTGCAATCAAAATAACAATCATTGGATTCTACATGTTCTTTCAAACAAGTTTCTGGGTTTTTCTAATTTTTGTAAAAATCTGGCGTTCTAGTATTAATCAATTCTTTAATCGCCTCATCGACAGTTGCTTGATACGTGAGGGTTTCTTCTTTGGAAGCGACTTGAATGTTTAAAAAAAGTGAAAATTCGACGAGTATGGGGTAATGTAGTAAGGTTTCATAATTCAACGTGTTCAACTTTTGCATTGTTATTCGTGACACACGTGGTCGGGCATTGTTATGGAGAAAAAATGGCTCCTTTCGATTGAACAGAGGAAGATCTACTCTCAGAGTTAGATATAAAATATGTTCAAAGATCTTAATGGTTTTCGTTAAAACGGAACTTAACCTATTTATCCACCAAAATCGGACATTTCATATGTTACAAGCTAATATATGAAAAATAAGATCATTTGCGTCTAACAAGAAAAGTATTTATACGAAAGTATTTCGAATATGCTTATCAAATGAATGGTATAAATTGAATTTATATTGTTCATTTCTATCAGATATATTATTTATTATTAATTATATTTCTTATAAATACTCACTGACTTACTTGCCACTGCGAATAAATAGCAATAAAGTAAACTTTCGTTATTACTGCGGATCTTGATGCGTTTATAGGTTATACAAACCTTTAAAAAGAAAAGCTTCTGTTTTAATGAGAACTCTCGTAGAATTGCATTCTTTTTGTATCACGTTGAATCCGTTGAAATGATTAATATAAAAAATAAAATGCAATTTTACGTCGGTTTCTTAACACAGCAATTAGAAAACTGTAAATCTGCACGAACATCCGCAGTGTAATTCTTATGTTCATCATTCTATCATTCAGTGAGTGTTATCAACGAATCAATTGTCTAATTATTATATAATTATCGTAAGCTAAATTTCTATTTGTAAGTATTCCAATAAAAACATGTAACATAGATTTACAATTTAACACGCGTAACGAATACGATTAGAAAGTGATCTCATTAATTTCTTCCCTAAATTCTAATTGGAGTTCAACGTACGGGTTACATATTATTGATCGATTTCAAAATCTAGTTAAATAGAAATTCGGCGCTTAATGCGAAAACTTTTCGTCGCCCATACGAGTCCGAACTGAACCTAGTTCAAATTGTTGTTAACTTCACATTAAACGGTTTCATACGTGTAATCGCGTTTGTAGAAGTGCTCGTTAATATTTCCTTTATTAGATGAATAATTGGAAAAACTTATATATCGTGGATTTATTAATTGATTGATTTACAGGTTTATTCTTCAAATACTCTTCACAACATTTTATTGTTCATAGAGTAATAGTTAGTTAGTTACTAATAGAATCTATATTTTTCAGTTGCCTTGATGGGCATGGATAATAGAAAATAGTTTGATTAGTTTACAGATATTAGCGTAAATAGATATTGAAATAGCCCCATTTAACTTGCTGAAGATTTGTCTAAAATTTGTTAAATCTAGTCAATGTTCATTGCAATTACAACTGAATTTGACAAAGTTTAAACGAACTTTGGGTAACTTGAATGGTTCTGTTTCAGTGTCTGTTTACGATAATATCTATAAACTAATCAAACTATTCAACGAACTTTGAGCAAGTTAGGTGGTTGGTTCTGTTTCAATATCTATAAATTAATCAAATTATTAGTTTAAAATTTGTCAAGTCCAATTGTAATTACAGCGTACATTTACTGGATTTGGAAAATTTTAGACAAATTTTGAGCAAGTTAAGTAATTCTGTTTCAATATCTATAAACTAATCAAACTATTCGTTTAAATTTTGTCAAACTCAATTATGGTTACAATGTAGATTGACTGGATTTGACAAATTTTAAACGAACTTTGTTCAAGTTAAATGGCTCTGTTTCAATACCTATTTATCTTAATATCTCTAAACTAATCAAACTATTTTCTATTATCCATGTACCACCAAGGCAACCGAGAAAGATAAGTTCTATTAGTCAGCGTGAATTGGAACAGCCAAAATGTCAGCCAAAGAATTAATGGTCGCGTTAAAATTAATTGGAGTAGATAGTAATATCGTAACCCGTAATGATTCCATTTATTATATGAAACTCGACATGTGTCGTGCCATCTGTGCGGTTCAAAACACGTTTATCACTCTTCAGTACGTCAACAACGTTCACGTCAAACCGTCAAAAATAGTGCAGTATTAATAGTATTAAAAACACAAGAAATCTGATGGATTTAAAGACTGACCAATAGACGTCAGAGTGCAAACGATACGATGCAATTTATTCAGTCCATTAATTGTCTTGTTGTATAAAACGCGACAATTATCTGTATGATCTAATATTTTCAAAATATTGAACACTTCTCGATTCTTTTCGCTTTTTTTCGTGTACCACGTGAATAACATTCATTAATCAAATTTATCGTGTCCAAATACTTCTTGCTACAAAGGTAATAATCAATTTAATAGACAAATATTGAAAATATTCGAGTGAGAACTATTATTTATTATAATTTCAACGTCTACAATCTACACCATGGTTTCCTACGAAAATTGGATATGTAATGAATTTATTACAGCAATTATTTAAATTGTAAATTATGTTTCTTTATCAAATATATTAGTATAAATACTCAATTATGGCAAATAAATTTTCTTATTCAGTTTGACGAAATAACTTTATGCGTTAGCTTTCACTATTATTGAAATTTTTGAAACGTTGAAGTTAGTGTTCAAAATTATGAATTATACATTACATCGTTAAATAGTTATTTCAAAAATAATTTGTCATTATTGAAAAGTAATTTCTCATTTTTTAGTGAAATATAATATCCGTACCATGTGAATTATGTTCGCAACGTCTTATAAATGACGAAAGTTGGCGAAACAATTAATTCTATGACATTAATTTTTATTGTTCCACAAATATTGCTTTTTACTTTGTGCGTTTCACATTGGTTCGGTTTGTACTTTGTTCAGCGAGACGATTCAGTAGAGGTAAACAAACTATCCACATGCTGCACGTATGACAGATCAGATGGTTTCGGCTATCTGCTGGCAAGCGTTTATCTGATGTTGCCGATCAGAGATGAAATTGTATTTTTACGTCGAGTTCGACGAGCTGCAAACTTTAATACTTCTACAAATAAACTGCGTGTACAATAATAAAAGACAGTGTCTACGTGCGCGTGTTTTTTAAAATTATTTATTCATTACCATAGATGTTTGTGAAAATGATAAATATATCAGTTTTGGGATAAAAATATTTGATTTATTTCAAAGAATTACGATTCTGGGTAAAATTTAATGATAAATTGTATCGAGTATTAAACGTTATACAATAGTATAGACAAAATAATGTTTTTAATTGAAGATCGAATTTTGACGAGTGAAATATTTATGTTTAAATCGACTAACGCATAAATTGGAATATTTTAACCTCAAATGTCAATTTGTAGGAATAATATTGCATTACAAGAAAGTATAATTAATTTTATGCTTTTTATAACGTTACGTGCCTTTGTAAAAATGATTCAGACTCAAATAATATTTTCAGGAATTCATATGTGAATGAAAAACACGAGAGTTCATCGTACATTTGATTCAAAACGATTGAAAGTCCGATAATTTAATGAAACAGTATAGTTCAATCTGAATAAGTCTTAACAGCTTCTTTATAGTCGTTGATTACGTCTTAATGCGCAATCTGACATTCAAAGGTTACGAGAAGATGTATTTGCATTTAAGCCCAAGCTTGAGCGAAGGAAAGCCCTAAGAATGCAGCAGAATGGTCACGTTGGCAACAATTATGCGACTATAAGTAACAGAAATGTTCAAAATTTCCCGATAATTTCATTACATTCTACAAAGTCGAGTGATTTTTGAGAAAATTCATGTTGAAACCTTCTTCTTCAATCTGCTTGAAACAATTGAAACAACCGATCGAATGTAACGTAAAAGTAGACATTACACAGAAAACCCTATTATGTCACATGTCGAAACAAATGACATGGTCTAATGTTTCACAGCGGACGGGTCAACTAGATCAGCTTTGAGCATGACATTTAAATATTAACTTAAATGACCTCTTAGATGTCTCTCCAAAAGAGACAAGAAAAGAGTATAGAATTCTAATGAATTGGTTTACTTGCAACAACGAATAACATGAATATGGACAAAGAAATTTGATTACACCTAATTTCTTATTTCTTAGAAGTTTGACTGTTACCAATTCAAAGAAATTCAGCCGTACAATTAATAACCTTACCTTTAACACTAGAACTACCAAGCCCTTAAATTTACTATTGAGAATTTCTTTACAAAAACTACAAACGTGGATTTATTAAGGTTTGAATTGGTTTAAATTTCAGCTTAGGTATTACTTAATCCGCTTCATTATTAATTCCTCAAAGAGGTATTCGTACTTTTTCAGGAATCACAAAAGGAATCAAGAAATGGGTTTATTGACCCATCTAATAGTTCTAGTGTTAATCAAACGATCGATTAATTTTTACTCTAATAATTGATTAATTACTCCCACGTAACTCATCGATTTTGATCCATAAACCATCAAGATCAGCCGACGCACAATTCGCAACGAGATCGCAGTTCCAGTGGTGCAACGTATAACTCAACCTCACCGTCCAAATGAAGTTTTTTCTAATCCACTAATTCACACTTGATTCCTAAATGAAATTTCCCATGATTCATGCTCCCATCTTCAATTTCGAAATGAAATTCTACCGTAATCCACTAAATCATGCTCAACGTCAAAACCGAATTTCCCACGTGTAAACCGAACTATAACCTCTAAATGACCTTCTCGTTTTTAACACTAGAACTACCAGATAGCTCAAAATGACTTATTTCTGATTTCTTCTTTTACTATTACTGAAAAGGTACGGATACTTCTACGAAAAATGATTAACGAAACTAATTCAGTAATAGTAAAACTGAAGTACAACTCGATTAACCCTTTACACTCGGGAGGTAACTCTCAGTTACCACTTGATTTAACACAGTAAAACTATAAAATCTGACATTTAATTAATTATACTAATATTTAATTACATACTAATGTCGAATAATGCCTCGATACATGAAACATTCGAATAAAATAACTCTGTTCTCAATATATTTGTAATCTCCCTTGGAGTTCATTTCAAAGAGCATCGTCTTCACCTCATCAAAACACATTAAACACTCTATTGATGATAAATACACGCTTACAGTTTTTCTACAAAAATTGTCAAAAGTCATTCTAACTGATCGGTAGTTCTAGCGTTAATCGGCCCTACAACTGCATTAATAACCCACTAAAGAAAATCAAAAGAAATCTTTCTATTCTCAATTAAAAATACACCCGATTCTAAAGCGTATCCCTGCAGCCCGCGACAACGTTCCATTCTCTCTCAAGTCAGAAGTCGATCAACATCTATAACGTCCGATCCCTGACGATCGAGGGTCGACCGGCGACCGGTAACCGTAACGTTCGAAACGAAACTCGCCGAACGAGTAACGAGAAAACGCAAACGGAAAAGAGAAGAGTGTGTGCGTGTGTACAGTCGAAGAGAGGTATGACTCACTCGGCGTTGGTCTCCGGCGTGGGCAGATCACCGATGGTCGTCAGGGTGAGGGTCGACCAATACAGTGAACCAAGGTACTTTCTGGTGAGGGTCGCGTACTCGCCGGGTCTGTACGGGTAGACCCAGTCTCCCTGGAACCCTTCCGCCTCGCTGAGCAAGTAGTAAAAGCAGCCGAACCAGTGGGCCAGGATCAGCAGTATGTGTATCAGGTTCAGCACACGCCACAAATTCGGATAAACCGTCCGCGACTCCACCATATAGTAATAGTTATAGACACGATAGATCTTTAGGAACCTAGGGAACCGGAGCATCGGGTTGCTGCCGAGATTCACTTGGAGAAGATCGAGGGGCAGCAACGCGAGCAAGTCCAGCACGAACGACTTCGACTTTAGGTAATGGCCGGCCAATTTCTTGCTGTTGTAGACCATCAGGCCTTGCTCGAGGTATCCGGTGCGGAATTGCACGGCTACGTCCAGGAAGAAGACCAGGTCCGTGAAGCCGTCGCACGCGAGCCACGCCGCTGGCGCCAGCGCCTGCAGTTCCGGCAGGCTCTGCCGCACGATCAAGGTCCACAGATTGTACAGGACACAACCGGAGAGTAGCATCAGCCAGTAATAATAGAAATTCTCATCGGGATTGACCACGGTCTTCGGTGGCCTCTGCGGTCGCCTCGGCCGTCTTCGGCGTCGGCCGCTCGAGTCTTTCTCGTCGTTCGCGTCCCCTTCGCCCTCGCCGGTGTCCAACGTCTCCTGGCTCTCCGGGATCTGCCTCGTCGAGAACCTCTTCAGGAAAGAGTCCTCGCGCTTCAGCGGCGGCTTCTTCTGGATTGTCGATATCGCGGAGGACAGCTGCACCGTGGTGCGCAGTTTCATCCACCGCTGGTTGCTCTTCGTTCTGGGAACAGAAAGAGTAATAGATCGACAGTCAAGGACGGGTGGAGTAATCGCCTGCAGCCCGTATCGGTGATATTGACGAGCACCGAGACTTGAGATTGAACGCTGTTTCAATGGAAATAATTGTAAGGATCTCTGTCGTTTATGGCCGCGCGACGGTTCGCGAAGCGTTTTAAAGATGGATGCCTGTGCGAGAACAGTTTGTATTAAAACGGGTGATCCCTTTTGAACGGGTCGTTGGTGTTCTTTTGAATGGAATTGTATTGAGTTCCTTCTGGCATTGAGGAAGTCTAGGGAACGGATCAACTCATGTGTGTAGGAAAATCTGTTGTTTCCATTGGTTGTGACCTTTTAGCTACCTTTTAGCTACCTTTTAGCTATTGCGGGACTACCCACGAAGCTCTGTATGGCAAGGTTTGATGCAGTTTGCTTGTCAGGAATGTAATATCACTGCGATTTGAGACTTATGAAATTTTCCACTGTGCGATTGCTAATTGCACATTATAGTTTAATTAGATTATATAATATAGATTAGATAATATAGACTATAATGTGCACAACTAGCAATGACAGAGAAAAATTGTGCCGTTATAGTGGCGTTCAAAAAGATGATATACACGAAAGCCACTGTAGTGGCGTACGGTAGCTAAAAGGTTAATATTGACATATTCGTATTTTGATGATACTCTCCGGAGGTTCACTCGCGTCGTTGCTACCATGGAATGCTGTAATTCAAAGTAAAACCGTATATGTGTACTTTTACGTACGCGAGGGAAAGTAAACGAAAATTCTACACAGTGTAAATCGAAATCGCAGAAAGAATCGTGTTGTTTCATTAACTTTGGTACGTTCAAGGTTACCTCAAGGTCGTGGTTCAAGTTGAATGTATTTTGGAAAATAAGACAATATCGATCGAAATTTATTAAAGGAATTTATCGTTTGGCGAAATAAATTATTGAAACTAATTATACAATTTTCCTGAATAAATTAACATTCGTATAAAATCAATAATTCAATCATCAATGCAGTTGTAATTTATAAGCATACAGAAAGATGCAAACGTAAGTAAGAAATTCGATAAAATCGAAGATTGTAATTCACTACCTTTTAATTAACTCTCAATTAAATGTATTCTTCTTTTGAACAATCAAGTATTGTTCAGTGGTACCAGAAACTAGTTTAAGTAAACTGAAGAGAACCACCTAGTGCTATGTTGGGAAGACAACGTTAAGCTTTTAAGAATTTATAGATGTCGCTGCGTACGGAAGGATGTTAAGGATCGCTACCGCTGAACATTGACAAATGCTTTTAATTAAAATGATTTCCCCTTTCGAAACTAGGGAATACCACAGCAATTACAACATAGCTTGCTAAGAGACTAATTACCAAGAGTCCATTATTTTCTGCGTACCAAAAGACCAACAGACGACATATCATTCGAAAAAGGTTTCGGCTTTCAGTGCTATGATTTGTATAAGAAATTTCATTTACACTACCGCTCAGAAGTATTTGATCTCTTGCTTGGTAACCGATATATTCGATGATGTACGTGTTAATAAAGTGTACCAATAAAGGAATTTTAATTGTATCGATAAATAATATGAATAAATATGTTCCTGTTTTTAAAGAATGGAGATAAGAAAGTTAAATGATAAGTATATATTATGATTGGACGTTAGTGATTTCATATTTATTCTGTTAAAGGTTAAGTAACAGAGAATCAATTTGGGTTTTCAAATGAAAATAAGAAATTTAAATTTCAAGTATAAATCATAGTAATTAGATAATAGTAATGTCATATTTATTATATTAGAAATTAAATATTAGACAATCAATTTCTCTTTTTCAAAGAATCAAAATTAATTAGTTAAATAACAAATATAGATTATACTAATTAGATAATAGTAATTTCATATTTATACTATCAGAAATTAAATATTACAGAATCAATTTAAAATAAAATAAGAAATTTAAATAATTAGTACAGAATCACAGATGATTAAATAGACACTAATTAGACAATAGTGATGTCATACCTACAACATTAGAGATCTTAAATGATTATACCAAACGCATGTAACTTAAGACAAATCGTCAAGCCACAACCGTGATCGCGACAACTTGGTTTTTTATTACCTTCCCTTCCGTCAGCTGCAAATGTTGCAAGTGGTCAAATATTTTCGAGCAATAGTGCACTTCTACCGGGATGCATCGTGCAAGCCGATTAAACAATCAAATAACGGTACGCGTTATACGTTTCGGATTCCCGAGTGAATTTTCAAGCTTCATCGGACCCTTTACAAACCACCACCATGCATGGTACGTTCATACATGTATCGCAAACCTTCTTGCATCACGTTCCACAGTTTTCGCTATGGACATACAGTTTCGCTTCGCATAGGTCCATACATAGGTACGTGACAAATTTCGAATACTTTAAATAACAAACAAAGGTTTTCGGACATTTTATAAATATTCATTCGCCGGGTGAACATTCGGAAAGCATTGCGAATTTACTCGCACCGAAATGCGAATAAACCGGAAACACGATGCCACGGAAATGTATAAATAGTTATTATACCTACACACGATAAAATAAATCAAATTTGTTATTACAGGAACTAAAATTCCTGTAACAATAAATTTCTTACACCAATATACCTCTGATAGCCGAGATATTTATTTCATAAATATAAAAAACTAAACTAAACGAACGAACGAATGTCCACAAAATATCCGAAACAATTGTTTCGAAAGTTCAAATTTGACAAGTTCGTGTAAAGTTCCGCGAACTGTATGCGTAAAATTAATTAGTGATATCGTTTTACGGAAACTTGCAGCAAACAATGTAAATGCTTATATTTATTCTTTGTTATCGGTATACTAAACAGTTTCTAGGATTTCTCGGATTCTATTCGCATTCGTTTTGAACCAGTTTTTTATGCTAAACGTAAAGGAACTCATTCTACTTTTGAATTTTGCATTGGTCGCAATGATTGGAACAAGCGGCAATGGATTGCCAGAGAATGCTTCGTTAATTCCCAAAACAGAATTTCCAATTTTTGGAAAATTGGCATGTGGTCTACCACCGCAGAGTGCCATCGAGATTTTCTGCCGATGGCCATTTCCAAGAAATCGAAACGTTAGAATTGGGAACGCTAATTGCATCCGCCATGACGTTGCATCCAACACTTACTAGGTGTACTGTCCACAGGCGATATCTTTTTACTTATCCGGCAAATAGCAGAGTTTAACAAAGTCGCAGGATGAGTGCAATGAGAAGCGAAACAAACAGTTCTCCGAGAATCGAGGATCAAGATACGGAACTGCAAAGCGATGGCGCACACGTCAAATGTAAACATTCGATAAAGGAAATATGAATCTCATTAATTTCGATATTAGTTTATCGAACATAGTGCCAGTGGATTGTTGAGATCGTCGTGCTTAAAATAAGTCCAGACACGATAGAAATCGGACTAGTTTCACCGATTTCATATAATTAACAGAATTAACGGTTAATTTCCATGTAATCGATCAAACTAGTCCGATTTCCAAAAGTATTAATAAACACCTTCTGAAACTTTAACTTAAAATGATTTTCTTAGTTTAATCATTTTTCCTCAATTGAATTTTGGGCATTTCCTATAATTTTCTAATTTTCTAATTGTTTCTGAAGAAGCTAATATAGAATATACGACGAAACTCGGAAAATATTTTTAAGTTCAAAATTCGAAAGGTTTGTATTTGTAAAATTCTTGACAGTTTCGGTAGAAATAGTGTTAACCACAACGATCTGAACAATCCACTGGCACTACGTTCGAGAAATTAAGATCGAAATTAATGAAATTGATATTTCCCTTATCGAATATTTACATTTGACACGCGCGGCATCGCTTTGAAGTCTCGCATCTTGATCCTCGATGCTCGAACTGTATGTCTTACTCCTTTCATTATAATTGTTACAGTAAATTTGACTAAATCGGCAATTATACATAACCCCCTGGAAATTATGAATAATCATCAATAACATTGGAGAATGATTATACATAATCACCGAGGGATTATTTATCATATTGTCCGAAACATACTCATTCTCCGACTGTGTCAAACTATACTCCATGCCCCCTTGCCGCACTTACCCCGTCAGTCCGAAGAAAAAGCGAAAGGACATCATCCGTGGACAGTCCTCATTTCGAATATCATCGCATCCACAGTCTTCCACGTAAACATCGAAAACTGCTGAAAGGAGAACTCGAAAATGCCACAAGAAATCGTAGAAACATGTTTCCGACACAAGTGTCTGTACTCTCGCTGGGAATTAAGAAACGATATAACTCATGGAATGGTCTTATGTGCCGTCCGTTGCAGGGAACCTGGCACTCTCGTCCGAGTGGTCGGATTCGAAGGCGCGCGCCTGATTGGCTCAAGCTCTCGTGCCCACCAATCGAGTCGCGCAACGAAGAGTGGGGAGAGCAGTCACCGGACTCGCGATTGGATGCCTCGGAGCGACTGTCTCCGCCTCTATGACGTCACGAGCGCCAGGTTCTCAGCAACCGACGGTGCACGTGAATATATACGTATCAATATATCTATACTTGTTAGAAGCAGGCAGTCCTATTTTCGTTTCATTCACCGAAAACCCACTGAAAGGAAAGAGACACATCATTCACCGTAGACGTAGTTCCATTATAATCGTTACCACTTAATCGTTATAATAGTAATCATTAGTATCTAATGTCTATAAGTAAGAGAGACGATAAAGTGATTCTTGCTTGAAATAAGAAGTGAGCGAGAATCGAGTAAGATCAGTTCAGAGTCAGAGCATCAGTTGGATGAGAGGCAGACAGACAGACGGCAGACAGACAGACGGCAGACAGACAGACAGACAGACAGACGGACGGACGGA